GGGGAGGGGGTGTTCCTAGAGGAGCTCCCGACACCCACGCCTCCTCCATAACTTCAATTAGATTTTTTTTGGAGTTATCTCTTGCCGTGATTTTTGAACCTCTGAAAAATTTTCTTGTGAGACTGGGTATTTTCTACAGACGGCTCAAATTTGGTACACAAATTATCGTTAGACCGAGCTAAACCAGAATGTTGTCGAAATCTTATTTGCTTGTTAAGAAATTCTAGAGAAAAGAGAGAGAATGAGATTGAGAGAAGAACAAAAGATTGTTAATAAGTGATAGTAGTGAAATGATGTTGACTTTTAACTTTTAATAGTACATATGTTAAGTAAGAGTAAATTTATCTTTTCATATAGTAAAATGGCTAATAGTTAAACTTCTACAAAATATGACAATTTTTCATCTTTTGTATTTCTACTTGGCTAAAAGTCGGCTCCCTGTTTTTGTTTCTTTTTATGTTTGAAGAGAGCTAAATAGTGACTAGATAATGATTAGAAGTGTGTCAGAGAATAAAAGTTGAACTTTTTGACAAAAAATTGCATATAGTAGAAGTTTAATTTCATTCTTTTAAGGGAAAGTTCTCTAAAAATTCCTAAACCAAAATCTGAATTCCTGCTCAGTCCTTCTTCAATTTTTTTTCTTTCTACCTCCCTACCCTCATAAACAACTTCCTTCTAACTCCCTAGGTATAAAATAAGTCAAAAAAAAAAAAATACTTATTACGTCATCCCACTAAAACCCCTTAACATATTATTTTATTATTACTTTTATCTCCACTAACCCTAACACATAATATTATTTTATTTGAATCTTCTTCCTTCCCCAACACACAACCTCCCTCCTGTCTCCCTCCCGTCTCCCTCCGGCGTCCGCTCTTTTTTTGTTTTTATTTTTTTTTTACAGGTTGGTCTCTCCGGCGACACAAAGAAATCCGGAAGCAACAAATCCGGCCAAACAACTGATTCCGACGTAAAATTCAACGAAATTTTTTATTTTTTTCCGGCAACATTTGTGATTTTTCCGGCCAAAATTTGAAGTAATAAGTAATATATGTATTATATGAGAATCTTGGAGTCAAAAATCATGTTTAATTCATATATTTTTGGTTAATTTGTTAAGGATTGAATTTTGAATATTGTTGTTAATATTAAATCTTACCCTATTTCAATTAAATTGATCAAAAAAAATTATTGTTCATGTATATGAAATTGATGCTATTGTTAGGTTATGTAATGTGTTTTTCACCCTAAAACAAGAAAATAAGGTGAGAATGATCATTGTGCCACTATTCTTAATTATTGTACCTCTATTTGTATGTATATAGTACCACTTTAATCCTGTTTTGTACCACATTTTTCTGGGAATGTGAAATTTTATTTTTTTATTTTATCCAATTATTGTTAAATACATAGAAGGGGCACAAAGTGATCTACTAGGGAATTGTACGTATAAGAATGAATAGTTTGTGTTCTCTATGCACATTAAATTAACCTTGTCAAAGTGTACACTCTCATATATAAGAGGTGTCCGAACATTAATTTCGAATCCGTCGTGCTATGCTATATTGCGCCAAAGGAAAAAAATAGAGTTAGTTTGTCGGATGATGATGATGATGTAAAGAACCTGATTCGGTCACATGTTCGTTAGAAAGTAAATATTGAAGAGATGCTTGCCCTTGAAATAAACGAAAGATCGGATGATGGAGTTCAATCCTTCTCGATGAACATGAGCAGGTAATGTTGCTTTCATAATATTAATCAATTTATTATTGAATGATATAGTCATATCATATCCTCTTTCATTAATTTTTGAACTAGTTCCATTATTTATAAATTTTTGTATTATTTTGTAATGAACGCAGGCAAATCGTACTGTATTATGATTTCTCGGATGGAGAACATGAGCTGTTGCAAGATAAATCGATTGATTCTTGGAGATTTTGCATCAAAAGAGAGGGGCATATATTCAGTGGAGCCGATGAATTTCATAAGAGCGTTAAAAACTACGCAATTGTAAATAAGCGGTCTTTTAAGGATCGAAAAAATGACAAGCAGAAGATCATTGTTTGTTGTAGCGATGCGGGTTAAGAATGGAGAATATATGCATCATTACACAAAGGTGAACAACTGTTTGCCATCCGCAAATGCAATATAGTCCATACTTGTGGAGTGTCCAATCTTCGGACAAGGGGGCATCCCAAAGCAGACTCCATGT